AGGACTGTAGCAGCTACGACCTTGACCTTTCAGAACTGCAACAACTATGACCCCTATGCAGATATGACCCCTACTTTGACAGATCTAAGGTTCAAGACCCAACAACTACTCAGACCTACGACAGACAACTGTCAACTACTACACACAGGTCACAGGTTCACGACACACAGGGTCGACTTGATACTGTACACAAGGAAGGTAAGGTAAGGTAAGGTAAGGTATGGGGATCGAGCCCTGGGATCCGCATCTGTGACTGCAAAAGGTGAAAACGGTTTCAGATCGAACCCTTGCTTTAGAAATGAGGTCGTTAAACACAACCCTCACAACGATCCTTTGCCGTACAGAAACTCTGAAGCATCTCCTAACCGCATTAGACAGGATAACACACAGCGTGAACCGGGTTCGCTTTTCAGAAAAGCATCTAATAGCACTAGATCCAGAGATCAACTCCTCGAAAGACTAGCAATACAAATCTTTGCGTCGAATAGGATTGGAGAGGAGCAGCGCCAAGGGTTCCTTGAAGTGGACTAACGAGGAGCAAAAATAGTTAATACTGACAAAATGAATGATGCTACCTCCACGAAAGTATTCCCTGACCTTCTTGAGTTGCTGTTGGCCGGATGCCAAAGAAACTACAGACGTCCCAAAACACCTCTTAACCACCCTCCATCCATCGCACAACACATCACCCCCCTTACATTCGATCACCAATTGATATACCTTTTTATCAAAACAGGTTTTAAGAATGGACAAAAGACTACAGGACTGCTGCCCATCAGAGGAAACAAATGACACACTCCCCTTCTTCTGGGTTTTGGTCAGCTCAACACCCTCAGCCATACACCGTTTCCTCAACCTTGCTCTCTCCCTCTTGCCCTTCCTCTTTCGTTTGGACGACCTTCTTTTTCCTTTTGAATTTAGGTGCGGGGAGAACAGTCGGATCAACATATTTTCAACCAAAAGTACATCCTCCTTGCTGCAAACACATAGGGGGATAGCTACAAATTTGTCAATGCCAAATGGCCGTAACCATCGATACAATTTGTGATTCCTGGTGGACATTCCATTCTCTCTACTTCGGTATACATGCTCCCTCTGCCTAGTAGGAAGATCCCTCGTCATCAATTCAATATAGGTATGCTTGCACCACGGAGACACCAAGGCATAGACCAGAGGACTGGAACAGGACAAGAAGTCAAACCCAACAGAACTGCGATCCTCAATATAACCTTGAAATTTGGCTAACCAAGGAATAAAGTCCAAGCAGATAATGGACAGGACAAGCAAACGAAAAAGGCAGTCAAGGTGGACATGCGGCAGATAAATAGAGGACTTCCTAATACTAGAGCACTGAGCCAGGCACAACCAGGCGGTATTTACGCTCGGGAACAGTTCCTACGAATCAGACACCTCCTGCACTTCCACCCCATCAACAGCGCTCCCATTATTAACTTCGTCAACATCCTTAACAAGATCCTGACTCATATCGTCACCCTCAACATCATCAGAACCAAACTCCTTATCAAGTCGCTTCTCCACAATCGAGTCAATTGCCTGCTTAATAGTAACGAAATCGACTCCCTCATCAATACATACCTTCAGAATTTCGGCTTTTCGTGAACCTCGAAGCTCCTGTCGAGCTTTCTTCTCGAAGGGTACCATACGAGAGGTTCTACTTTGAGTGCCATTTTTCTTCAGTAGGGAAGTAGGGTGGACTTCCTCCTCGTCATCAGATTTCACCACATCAGCAGCTGCTTCAAAAGATGGTCGGAGGTTCGACCGCAATGGACAGGGTGTTTTTCCCGCCAGCTTCTTCTGCAGAGCAACCGCCTCCACCTGTGCCTTAATCTTCAGCTCCTTCAGCAGGCGTACCTCTGCGTGCATGGCCTCATTATCCTCTAACACCTTGTTGTATGCCAACTTAAGCTTTTGCACCTCACTCGACGGTTCAACCGCCTGGTAAAGTCTCACCGGGGTAGAGTGCACTTCCTCATTTACCCAACACTCCCGCTCTCCGTTTGGATCCAGTTCTCGGAGGAATCGGTTGCACATTCTTGCTCATCTTCTTCTTCAAAGCCTGGTTTTCCAATGTTAACTTCTCCAATCTCGACTCCATATTCTTCTGGAACTCCTCGTTTTCACGCCGCAGCTTGGTAACCTCCTCCTCTTTGGTTTTATCCTCCCCTTTGGTACCCACAATAGTCGCACAGATCTCTTTCAGTTGCGAACTTAGTAGCTCACTCAGCTCTTGGTGAAACTCTTTCCTCTCCTTGCGTCTCTGCTCCAACTCACGAACCTTCTTGACTTTCTCCTCTTCTTCAGCCTTTACCCGCTCGTTCTCCCTACGTGCCGCCTTTCGGGCCTTCTTCTCAGTGCTCCACCAATCGTACATTTCATTGAGTCTCACTTGCTTACTTCGCCACCATCCCTGTCGTGGAGCAGTCGGCACTATTCCAGTATTAGTCGAGCTGAGCGGAGGAGCAGGAAGCGCCAGCAGCCCGGAGGATTGCACCGGGACAATCGCGTTACACTGACCGGATGCAGAAGACGACTACTCCCCATTGTTATTCTGTACAGCCTGAGAGTAGCCCCGTCCACCATGGGAACCATTACCACCGTAATTCCTTGGACATTCACAAGAAAAATGTTCCGGCTCGTTACATGTAAAACACCGTCGCACAGGAATGAAATTAGGATTAGACATCGTATACCAGCACACCCTAGATATCCAAGAGGTGGGTAGATTACCAGATAGACGTAGGAGCCTGTCTACGACGACAGGTACAAGAGCACAGCAAAGAGAGATAGACTGGTTTAGAAAAAGCAGTATGTAGGAACTGAAGGAACAAGAACGGCATCCACTCAACAATATCTGTAGAAACTCACAGCCACACTACCATAGTCCAATTACTACAGCGGTTACTGTGCGAATGAAAGGTCAATTGCATAAGCATTCATCAGAGATGCCATTGACAACAGCATATACGAACAGCAGGAAGACAAAGATGAAGACGGAAGAAAGAAGAAAGAAGAAAGAAGAAGAAGAGGAGGAGAAAAGAAAGAAGAAAGAAGAAGAGACCAGGACCAAGACCACACTCGAGTACAAAAAATCATCAATTACTCCCGAGCGCAAAACGAGGGCGAAACGTAAATGGAGAAAATAAGCACCACCCTCGACGCTGCTGCCGCAGTGTTCTGCGTGACTCTACAGCACTGTTTCGGCCGGTCGCCACCAGGCCTCTTCAGGAGTCTTTGCTGGCTTAAAGACTCGAGTGGTCTATGATCGCCTAAATACCTACTTGATTGACGTTTCAGAGAAGGACCGACCCACTGAACCCCTTGAGTCGGGTTAGGTGAAGAACAGTTGCAATCTGAAATCGACAACCCTGAAAACACCCGAAAAACTCTGAGGTCGACCCCCCAACAGACCACGTTTTTTTTTTTTTTTTTTTTTTTATAAACAGAACGCTTGGTTTTATTATAAGAGCAAAAGGAGGCCGGGAATGGGGCAGTTCTGTCTAACGATGGAACTTGAAGAGCCTAGCTCAGTGAGGCCCACACCCATGAACTGTTGAAATACAGACCAAAGTTCGAATCCAGATGATGAAGGAACTTGACAAGTAAAAAAATACTTAAAAAACAAATATTTCAGAATTGCCTGGAGCCTGTCAGCTCAATGACGATATCTCAAGGCCGTCAAAAAAAAAAAAAAAAAAAAAAAAAAAAAAAAGAGGAGGCCGGGAATCCCTCCACATCTCAACCCGGAATACTGAGGCCAATACCCAGCTTGGGCTCGTACTGGAAAACGGGTCCAGTGTCCCATGCTTCAAAATTCCAACAGACTTGTCCTGACGTCTTGTTTGTTTGTTTTTTTGTTTTTTTTTCAAGCTTGAACGGTGAAGGGGAAAAATCTGAGGGCGTACTTACACTAGTAATTTCTTAAACGAATCTGACTGCAATTACGACCAGACCTAGACGAATCTGACTGCAATCACATCGAGAGCTTAGTAGAAAAAGTGTTAATGTGAGTAGGCCCCTGAGTTCGGTCCATTCCGGTCATTTTACAGGTCATTATGGGCCTCACACCACTACTCTCGACACGATGCACAAAATACGAAAGTATATGGGGGTGTATCTGTCCAAGTTCTAGCTGCAGATTCATTCTCATTCTGTACATTTGGAGAGTAGTGTAGCAAGGCCCTATGAACCGGGTTCCCTCTCCCCTCTTCCTCGTCCTCCACCTGACAGTTAGGCCCTCGTTCACTACTCTCGACATGCACAAACGACAAAAAAATATGGTGGTGTATCTTTCTATGTTCTAGCAGACGATTCGTTCTCATTTTGCACATTTGGAGTGCAGTGGAGCGAGGCCCTTATTCCTCACCTGATTTCGTTCTCTCTCTCTCTCTCTCTCTCTCTCTCTCTCTCTCTCTCTCTCTCTCTCTCTCTCTCTCTCTCTCTCTCTCTCTCTCTCTGCCTCTCTCTCTCTCTCTCTGTCTCTCTCTCTGTTTCTCTCTGTTGTTTTTTGCCTCCAGGCTATCCCTTGCCAGAGGCGGGCTTTCCCTCACCATCTTCCCGGTGACTGCCTATGAAAAAAAATGAAACAGGAACAGAAATTGGTCCAGAAAATTGGATAAAGATGTCTAGAGTTTTCAAGGAAACTTCATACCCAAAGCAAGGTACTATCAGTCTTGAAAACTGACATATTACAAGTTTTACAACATCTCGAGGGTTTGAATTGAATCCCTCTCCATATCCGTTCATGTATGTTAATTTATTCATGGATAATGACTTGACTTCAGTATTGAAAATGTTATCGAGGAAGCTCGATCTCTTTTTTTGTGGATTTTTTTAAATTTGTTTTGTTTTCACTTTATTGAAGTTTATTCACTTGTTATTCTTTCTCAGAAGATTTTTTTTTTGCATACATGTCACCCTTTTTCTTCCCCTCTGACGTTTTTTGGTGTAAGCTGATGGATGATGCATAATGACGATCACAGGCCAGTGGGCTCCTCGGGGCTTCTCGTTGGAAGCGTTACCTTGCCTCTTGCGTTCGTTGGGCTGTCCATCGTCGATCACAGAGCTGCTAATGCACATCATCTACCGATTTCAATCTCAGGTTAGCTCGTCTATGGTGCTTGTTGTCTTCCTGTGCTCTGAAATTCTTCTTCTTCTTCTTCTTCTTCTTCTTCTTCCTCCTCTTCTTTCCTCCTCCTCCTCCTTCTCCTCCCTTCTCCCTTCTCCCTTCTTCTTCTCCTCCTTCTTCTTCTTCCTTCTCCCTTCTCTCTTCTCCCTTCTCCCTTCTTCTTCTCCTTCTCCTTCTTCCTTCTCCTTCTTCTTCTTCTTCTTCTCCTTCTCCTCCTCCTCCTCCTCCTCCTCCTCCTCCTCCTCCTCGAACTCCTCAGTCAACTCTTTTTGGTACCTTTTAGGTTTACAAAGTCTTTTGGTACTTCTTCTTAGGCTTACCCACGTTATCCTCTCTTTCTCAGTTTTCTTCTTTCGGTTATTTATCTATCGAGTTCTTTTTTTTTTTTTTGAAGTCCAGATCGTAGTAGAGGTTGGATGCTAGGGCTCGGGAGGGAGGTGCCTGTCATCGTACTCAGCCAGTAGGGAGATCACAAGATTACTTTCTTAAAGTTTCTTTTCCTTTTTTTTAAAACCCCCCAGGTTGTTGTAGAGGTTGGATTCACACTTGGAAGATCCCCCAGGACTCAGCCATTTGGTTCTTCGGATGGCTCACTAGGCCTTCCTGGACTAACCATACTTGCCGCGCACTTCTGCGGTGTGCCGTGCAGTGCGCATGCGCCATGTGCCATGCGCAAATTATGATGCGCTCAAATTTGTTTTATTTTTATTTTCTTTAGGGGTGTGTGCGTATAGGGTGGGGAGAGAGAGAGAGAGAGAGAGAGAGAGAGAG